TCCATGATTAATTTGTAACCGGCTAAGCTTATGTGAAAGTCCATAAATTATTAGTCCAAATAAGTTATGGATCATAAGCTTAAATGTAAGAATTAGGGTCACATATAACTCTTGGAATTCTACACTATATATATAACCCACTAAAGCCAAAAATCAGAAAAAGGGTGGATCATTCTAAGAGGGGAGATTTTGTGTACTCCATAACCTCTCTCTCATATTCATCTATTTGTTCATGGTGTTTGTGACTTGTCTGAGTCATCACACTTGAGGTGCTAAGCTTTTGAAAGGCCGACAACTACAAGCTCCAAAAAAGAGGTATTCTTCCAACTAGTTTTATGATTCATGTACCAAATTTGTATGCTAGATAGGTTTCATGATTTGGATAATTTTTGTTGCATGTATAACTAGAGAAAACTTAAATCCAATGCATTAGCGTTGTATGTGCACCATAGGAGTGTTATAGTACTTAAAACCCAACATTTAGTTCATATGACTATTAGCTAATAAATAGTTAAATAATTTATGAATCCTATTTAAATATAATTTAAACCCACATACATTTGCTAGAACTTAATTCAAGTCTCTTCTATATACATATTTCATTTAATCAGGTAATTCAATCCATATAATTCAAGGTATCATTCAATTAAATTGTAATTAAGTTTCATACCCATAGATTATTACCCTATTTAGATTAAATAGGATCTAAAATATGCCCGATTCGCATAAGCCATTACATGCCACCAGCCCATTAGCTAACTTGATACACACCAATCCATTAAAAGCCAAAAAAGAGTCCAACATCGTACCTAGCTTCTAGGCGGCGCACTAGAGCAACCCTCGGTGGTTGCTGAATCTTCGTTCATCAGAAGCGCAACTCCAAAGCCAAGTTATGAGTTACGCAGACTCGCGCCCTGAGTGTTATCGATTTCCTTAACCTTCTTTCTGGCCATCGAAGACTAGCACTTACCCTTCTTCGCTATTGATGATGTTGAAGGTCCCAAGACAGTGGCATGAAAATCATTAGGCCAAGAAAACGGGATTAAAACCCATCAATTAATCTCTCTCTAATCGAAGTAACTGGTGAGAGATAAGAAATCAGAGGATAAATTGAGTCTTACCTGCCTTCACTGCTTTGGAGAACATAAATTGAGTAACTGGTGGCAGCCTCCTTGTCTCCCACTTCCTCTTGCTCATGGAACTCTTTCATACCTCTCTCTCTCTCTCTCTCTCTCTCTCTCTATATATATATATATATATATATATATATATATATATATATATATATATCTTTCTTGATGCCTAAGAACATATACCCTCCTCATTCTCTAGCTATGGTTAGTTTTTGTAAGGAGCCGATGGATACGTCCAAACGAGACAGAAGGAGGAGGCAATGCACCACCTACACCTGATGCAGGGGACAAACATATCCAAGCTTTGTATTCGACAGCCCTGATCCCTGAAGCTTGACTTATTGACGAAACATACTCCAACTCGATTCCCCTTACAAATTGTTGATTTCGAAATTGAACTAAAGCCCCTTAACTTATTAGTGTTATTATTAACCACTAACATTAATAATGTGTCTACTCTTCTTTTAATTTAATAGACCTTATTTTAACTGCTATAATTTATATCTTTCTGTCTATAGATGTCATTTACATATTATGGGTACTTAGTTCTCTATACAATTTAATATTGTTTAAATTGTCATTTACATATTATGGGTACTTATTTATCTATACAATTTAATATTGTTTAAATAACTATCCATATTGTTAATAACCCTATTTCAAAATACTTCGACCGAAAACAGGTTTTACAATCATGGTAATACCTTGAAGCGCTAAATGTTTGATCATCAGGTATCTCGACCATAAGAGTGTGGTCCAACGCTCCAAGAACAATATCAAAACTCTTGCTAAATGCAAGGGATACAAATGATCGACTAGCTCTCGAATCAAACAATACTAAAGTAAGCATAAAGTTAACTAGGAACATACATAATCAGAAGCATAATAATAAGTACATAAAGGATAAATCAACATAAAAATAAAAAAGAGTAACATACAAATGACAACGTCTAGTACTACTCTAGCATCCTCAGTTGTGAGCTGAAAAGCTCTAGAAGCCTTCGCCTTGCCTTAGAGGCCATTTGTGATCATCCATGTAGCCAGAGCATGATTTATCACCCCTCTTATAGATAAACTGGGACAAGTAGCCTTCTTGTGGCCAATCTGATTGCAGTGGAAATATGCCAACATCTCCTGCTTGCAATCCCTTCTGAAATGAACCTCCTTGTCGCAGTTGAAACAACAAGATACAAACACACGACAAACCCCCTCCTATGCCTTCCTGTACATGCCAAATTGGTCGTAGCTCTTCTGACCCCTTGAATTCGAATCAACAACCTTGCACTTCTTCGGTGATGTTGACTATGTGTGAACCTGTGCTTGCTTCCTCTTATGTTGCTGCATCTCGAGTTCCCACTCCCATTTTCGGGTTATCATAATCATCTCTCTGAGGGTATGACACTTGGATGAATTCACAAACTCTTAGATCTTAGTCCACATTATATCATAATACTAGATCATCTTCATGGCCTTGGTGTCCGCATAGTCGGAGCAAAACAATGCCCTCTCCATAAAATTATCAATGATCTCCATCACCGACTCCATTTCAATTGTCTACTCAAGAGTTAGGAACTCTCGAGTCACTTTCTCAACCTCAGTAGGAGGCACATACTCCTCCCTAGACTTGTGTGTGAACTCAACCCATGTCATCGCCACTGGTTCGACCAGAGAAATTGATCGAACAATCAGAATCCACCTTGCATCCTCTAATAACAGGTTCACAACAAACCTGACTTTTTCCTTCTTGGGGAAAAATTTAGGTTAAGTGGGTAAGTTGGGTACAAAATCCCCATTTAGAAACATTCTTTATGTAACTTTTTTATTATTATTCTAGGGCTTTTGTAACATCCGGATTTTACCAGGTATCTTGTAAATCTAATTTTGTCATATTGTGAGAGGGACTCGGCGAGTTGGAGCTCAGACTCGCCGAGTAGAGACGCGGAATTGAACATTGGTGCGCGCCTGGACTCGGCGAGTCCAGGATATGGACTCGGCGAGTCTGCGCTGTGTAATGAAACCCTAAATCTCCGGGTTTGAGGCCTATTTAAAGGGCCTTATGGCCGTCATTTGTGCTCACCCAACCCTCAGTGAGTGACCCTTGTGTTCTTGAGCTATTTGTGAAGAGAAAGGAGCCATTCTTGATCTTGTGTGTGTTATTTAGCAAGAAGAAGGAGACCCTAGGCAAGAGGAAGCAAAGGAGGTTGCTATTTCGTGGATTTGGAGCTTAGATCATCACTCTAGAGGTATTATCTCGGACCATTTTCTGTTTAGTGAAGCATGATGCAATTTAGGGCTTGTGGTGGTCATTTATGGGATGATTTGATGCCCATTGGTTCCCTCTTTGAGTTGAGGCCATGGATCTGGATCCATAGAGGTCCAGAGAGCCTCACTCATCAAGCTTTATGAGTGACAATAGAGTCTTTGACCTTGTGTTGTAGTATTTGAGTCATAAACATCATATATGGTCATATAGAGGTTGTATGTGCATCAAGATTGTAACTTTACGTGCTAAATGAGCTTGGAGGGACTGGATCTATGGATTAATGAACCGAATCTGACCTTTAGAGCAAGATTGAGTCAGTGCATGGCATGGACTCGCCGAGTCCGAAGAACAGACTCGGCGAGTAGCATGAATGTTGCCCGACCACACTGTGAGTGGCCTCGCCGAGTTGGGAAAGGTGGACTCAGTGAGTCAAGGGGGAGTCAGAATGGACAGGTGGACTGAGTCTAACTGGACTCGCTGAGTTGTTCTTGAGACTCGGCGAGTTGAGTCGTGGTGGCCCCACAACTCGTGCCAGGTGGAACTCGTCGAGTTGAGGGAATGCTCGACGTGTCAAGGGAGGATTCCAGGGAAATTGGTGTACACGCCCAGACTCGCCGAGTCGCCTGGGTACTCGCCGAGTCCGGTCAAAGTTGACCGTTGACCGTTGACCAGCGTTGACCTAGATTGACTTGTTATAGTGTGGTCAACCCTAGTTGGGAAAGTGTTAATTAGAGGTGTATTGTGCTATAGGGGGACGACAGCTCGACAGGTCGAGTGATTAGCGATTTCAGGTTTACGATTTACCGAGACACGCGAGGTGAGTCTTCTCACTATACTTTACCTTGAGTAGGTAACCGGAGTTATGTGATAGAGTATTTGTATGCTATGTATGTTATGTGTTGTACTGCATTACTTCTATGTGATTGATGCTGTGCATGTTTACAGAGTTAGAACCGAAAGGTTCACAGAGTTAGAACCTGAGGGTTCACAGAGTTTGGGTGCACGGACCCACAGAGTTATAGCCTCGAGTGGCTAATATGTGTTATATGTAGTATTTTGGGGAACTCACTAAGCCTTGTCCTTACAGTGTTGATGTTATTATTTCAGGTACTAGTGACGACCGCGGGAAGGCGCCGGCTTGATCCGTACACACACACATTCGGAGCTTGATATCATGATCTTGGGATTTTGTATTGTCTTGTTTGGATAATTAAAATGGTTGTTTTATGAATATCAATGGAATTATGTTTTATAAAAATTGAAAAATTTGTTTTGAAAATTTTCGGTGTTACAGCTTTGTTAGTTTTAATATTAACTAGTATATGATCACAACCTTTTTCCAAGACGTTTTTTTAAAGAAACAAAAATTGGTACATTTAAAACAACAGAAAAATTAGAGGTCATATATGATAAATGCAAGGGATCAAAGTAGCAAAATCTTGAAAAATTTGTGACTAATATTTAATATATAAAAAGCAAGGAATCAAAAGTGACAAACATAAAATACAAGGGATCAAAAGTGGCAGATTCATGAAACTTTTATGGCTAAATTTTGGATATATATAAAATGTATGGACCAAAAGTGGCAAACATAAAATACAAGGGACAAAAAGTGGAATACATAAAACAAAAGGGACTAAAAGTGGCAACTTCTTGAACCTGTTGTGGTTAAACTATGAATCATAAAAGTTAGGGACCAAAATTAACAACTTCTTGGAAACCGTTGCGGCTAACCTATGAAACATAAAAAGTTACTATTCCTAAACGCATTATCCTTTAAAGTAGTATATTAATGGCGCCCTTATAAAGGAAACACCATTTGCATGTTTAATTTTTAAAAAACATTCCACAACCTTAGTCTCATCCTTTCCACGCAGAATAAAACTACCCCACCTCTTCTAGTTCTTTGCTATGTTGAAATTTCTCATATCGTTGCTCACACATTTTCCCGATCAGTTCACTCTCCATATGGTTTTCCCTAGCACTCTTTTTCCTTTTTCTGCAGGATGTTTGTAGTTATTTTACTGCAAGTTGAAACTCAATTTAAATTGGTTTCTTTGTGCTAAATTGTGGAGTGAGTGGTCGTGGTGGTGAAATTCAATTATGAATGGTGGTGTGTGTCGCTTAAAATGGATGATGTTGACGGGAGAAGATAAACCACACTAATGATAAATTATTTATAAAAATGTTAAGAGTAAATTACACGAATGGTCCCTATGGTTTGGGTTAATTTGTACGTTTGGTTCTAACTTGTTTGTTTTTGCTGCGCTCTTGGTCTCCGTCTTACCTAAAAAGACTATTTTGCATTTGATTTTTAATTTGTTTAAATAAACACCACCCCAACTCTATTTCAACATCACCTCACCTTACCTTACCTACCCCACGTTATTTAAAAAAATTAAAAATTCAAAGACAAAATAGTCTTTTAAAGTATGAGAGAAACCAAACGTACAACAAAAACAAATTGTATGGATTTTCCAAGTTAAAAAAAATAAATAAATAACTCACCTTATCTTACCTACCCCACGTTATTTAAAAAAATTGAAAATTCAAAGACAAAATAGTCTTTTAAAATATGACAGGAACCAAACGTACAACAAAAAACAAATTGTATGGACTTTCCAAGTTAAAAAAATAACTTATGGATCAAACGTGCAAAAGACCCCAAACCATATGGACAATTTGTGTAATTTACTCAAAAGTTAATGGTAATCTATAAAGAAAAGTTGGAATGCCTAATTAAAGTTTTGTTCTTCTACTTGAATGAACGAAATACTTGATCGAATGCAATAGTAAATCATATAAAATGACTAAATATTTAATAAAATAATATTTTATTATCCTAAAAAAGTCATTTTTCTTTTTGAAAATAGTTATTAATATACGTTTTTTTTTGTAGATTTAGTAATATTCACATATATTTTGACACAAAAACATAAAATACATACAAAGAAGCAAATACCCTTGAATGCTTGACGACTGTTCCAAGTAGAAGGGCATGCATATCTAGGCGGATAAACCGAAAAACTTGTTGCGAATTGAACTCAATGTTCGACATATTATATAGACAATGCGATAGGATCAAGTCTTGTAACAGGAACACAAACCAAAGGGTTAGCTCTAGGAATTGTGATCCCGATACCCTCTTCCATGTCAACACTAGTTAAATTCCCATCTTTTCCAGCCTTCCAATCGAAGCACTGAATCATACAACCAAGGGTTACATGAACCAGCATCAACCCTAACGAAATCCCTGGGCACATCCTCCTCCCACTCCCAAATGGTAACAACTGAAACTGCTGTCCTCTCAGATCGAACTGCTTCTCTTCAAATCTTTCAGGCCTGAATTCAAGTGGGTTTTCCCAATAGGATGGATCTCGGCCAACACCCCATACGTTAAAAAGAATACTTGTCTTTGCTGGAATAAGATAACCTCCCAAAGTGCAATCTTCGGTTGAATGTCTTAGAATCACTGGGGCTGCGGGGTGAAGACGTAGTGATTCCTTCACGATTGCTTGGAGATAAGGAAGGTTCGGTATGTCTGATTCTTGTAAAAGTCTGTCTTTTCCCACAACTTTCTCGATTTCTTTTACAGCTTTTCTCATTATGTTGGGATGGTTTACAAGTTCCGCTAAAGCCCACTCGGTAGTAATGGCGGAAGTGTCTGTTCCTGCCGCAATTATATCCTGCAATTTGATAACAGATATGTCAGTAGTAGCGAAAACCGATAAGATATGATATTTGGAGTATTACCAAAATGAAGGCTTTAATGTTTTCTCTGGTCATCTTTATCTCCATGCGCTCATCTTCTGAGATATCGAGTAAAAGATCGAGCAAGTCCTTAACTTCTCCCTTCTCATTCTTCTGCTTTCTTGCCTCTTCATGCTTCTTCATGATCTTTTCTATCAAGGCATCAAATCTTCCACGAATACGCTTTGACTTTTTTCCAATCCCTTGCAAATCAAGATTCTTCAAGAACCATATATGATCCGAAAGGTTAAATGTTACAATGAGTTCATTTATGTCGGTAACTATCTTTCTTATGTCCCCTGTGTCGTCCTCTTCGTCTGTACACGTGTTGCTCATAAGCATTCTTGACATAATATTGCTCGTCATCTTCATCAACTCCCCTTCGAGTTCCACCGACTTCCCAACTTTGGCCTTTTCCGATAAATATCTTAAAAACCGATGAATTTCATCGCGCCTAACTGGAAGGAGGGAGTCCAGTGTTTTAGCATTGAGGACTTCTGACATGACTATCTTCTTCAAGAACTTCCAGTAGGATCCGTAAGGAGCAAAGATGAAGCCACGGCCTCCGTAGGCAAGATAATCCATGGATGAGTTATGGGGTCTGTCTAGAAAGACATTTTCATATGTTTTAAATAATTCTTTCGCTGTTTCTGGTGACCCGACAACAACACAAGGTTTGGAGCCTAGCAAGATGCGAAAAACTGGCCCATATTGGAGAGAAAGCTTATGAAAAGCTCGATGAGGGCTTGGACTGAGAAGGTGGAGATGCCCGATGATGGGAAGGGCAAATGGGCTCGGTGGGATGCGAGGGTTAGACTTCGCACGACTCAACTTGAATAACACCGGTAGGAAGATCGTGGATATGACACTTATGAGAAAGAGAATGAAGTAACCTTGAACATCAGCCATGTTTAATTGAAATCATGAATTGGAATCTATGCTCCATTTAAAGATAATGAAAACACATTTTTCCAAAGCCGCCATTAAAATATCTCATTATTTTCTTCATCTTCATCTATGGTCCAGCCATCACCACTAGGCCGGGTATGAACACTTCTATTTGATTTCAATAATTGAGTGCAACAAATGCCTTTTAATTATCTTTTTACCTCAATGTTCAAGTTAAATTCTCGTTTATCTACTTAATGTTTATAAACAGAAATCGCGGATTCAATAGGAAGTGGAGGGAGACGAAAACACAAAATATTTCCTCGGAAAAAGAAGAGATCCAGAATAAATGTGTTATCAGATGGTGGGGTGCTACAGCCAATTCTGTCGTGAAAAACAAAATTTGGATTTTTTTTGTCCACAAATTTTTACAACTCACGTGAAACACGACCAAAGTTCATTAAAACCATATTCACAACAATTTCTCCCTTGGAAAATGAAGCACTTGAATCGGAGTTCTTTCTTGGTGAAATTAAAGAAGCTGTATGGTGTTGACTGAGTGACAAGGCATCCATGCTGGATGGATTTACTTTGAAATTTATCAATCACGTTGATTAATTTTATTACGACGATTAAAAGCTTTGAGCAGTTTGGTGGGCTAAGGGGTTGAATGCCTCTTTTAGATCTCTAATTCCATAAATAAAAGATCTTGCCACCCCAAAAAGACTTTTATCACATTAGCCTCGTTAGCCTCATTGGGTGTTTGGTGAAAATCTTATCCACAGTTCTTGTCGATTGTTTTAAATTATTGATTGCAAAGTAGTTAGCTTTTGATTATGGTTGTTAAAATTGCGATTTTGATAGAAAGATCGTACGATCCTATTTAGGTAAATCGATCTCGATCTTACTGGAATCGTTTTTCGGTAGGATCGTAGGATCGTTAATATATATATATATTTTTTTAAATTCAAATATTTTTTTGGACTACTAAATAAAAAGAATACAATTGTGAATTGTTTATCATTAAATAGTGTGAAAATTGTCAGAAAATTTTCAATATTTTCGGAAAAGTTACACTTAAGTCCTAAGATTTTTTTTAACATAAAAGTCTCAATTATTTCATTTTGACTCAAAAAAAAAAAAAAAAAAAAAAAACTTTTAACAGAAAATGACATATATATATATATATATATATATATATATATATATATATATATATATATATATATATATGGGAAAAGTGAATATAACCTTAAGGGTATATAAGCTTAGGTACTCAAACTCATCATATTACGTCGTTTTGTATCATATATATACATTGTAATTGTCTAATGTTCGTATAATTCAACTTCTAACTTGATATCATTCAAAAAAATTTATAAATTTCACATTTATTTTCCTTTTACATAATTTTCATTTTCAACTATAATATATATAGTCTAATTGATATTCGTCAAAAAGATGTGATGTAAGAGGTAGATAATAATGAAATTTTGAAAATCTTGAAAGTAAATCAAGTTAAGGATTGAAGTTGAAGAACATTATAATAAATATATCAAACAAAATGACGTATTATGGTGAGTTTGGGTACCTAAGCTTATATACCCTTAAGGGTATATTCACTTTTCCCTATATATATATATATATATATATATATATATATATATATATATATATATATATATATATATATTATATATATATATATATATATATATATATATATATGAGACATGTTGTTGGCCTGAAAATCAAGATCAAAATGATGTTTCTTTAAAGTGGACATCCACAAAACTTTCGACTCCCTTAATTGGGACTTATTCTGAAGTAAATGAAGGAGGTGAATTAGAGGATGAAAAATCTTAAATCTGGTAGGGCTTCGGTCCTTGTTAATGGGCCACTTAAAAATGAATTTGCGAGCATGGGTGCTAAACAACAAGTTTCATATTTCTATTTGTTTCCTACTTTTGATTTTACTAATAAGTGGTACTTTTTTTTTTTCTACCTGTGATTTTAGTTAGTTTCAAAATGAATGTTTTGAACAAGCAGATTAGCTTTTTATGATGTAATATTTACTAAAATTTAAAGTAACTTTTGTCTTTGGATTTATTGTATATCCATCTTGCAATTAACTTTATAATGAAAACTCCCAAAGAAATTTTTTTATGGAGTTTGCTACAAGTTTTATAAAAAAGTTAAATATTTTTTTTTTGTTCCTATAAATCCTCTTACCAATAAATGGTGACATGTGTAACATTTAATACTCATTTAATGAAATTTAACGATGTTTTAGTATACTAATGTGATAGATATCACCATTTAAATAGACAGGAGAGTAATAAAAAATTTAAAGATATTTAATTTCTCATATTATAATGAGAAATTGCTACAGAATTTTTCAACGAAATATATAATGAACAATGTGTACGGAATCTATAATGACAAACTGTTATGGCCCAGTTATTCTATAGTGAATTTGCTATGGTATTTGTTCCATCTAAACTTTTGCTATGGAAGGGGCGTAATTAATTTGCTAGATAAGTGAATTTTTGAAGCAAAAAATTTAACTATGAAGGATTCAACTTTTGAATCCCATTTCAATTTTCATAGCTATATGGGTTAGGCTCTGGAATTTCAGCCTCTAACTATGGAAAATTTCTATAGCTCTTCCAAAATTTTCTTGTAGTGATATCATGTCTATAAATAGAAAATGATAGTCTACAATCTATATTAGTAATATTAGTTGCAAAAATAGTTAAATCCATGATTAATATTGCATGTATGTGCTCTTTCAAAAAAAAAAAATATTGCATGTATGAATTAAAGAATAATCTACTTTCTTTAAGTTTCGAAAAGGTTTTAATGTAAAAGATGTGCACGCATAATAGGCCATTAAGCATAAATATACCTACACTTTTTCGTATTAGGAATAACATAATGCATAATCTTTTTTTTTTTTACCTATCAAGCATTTATACTCTTTGGACTTGGTCATTAATTCATTATAAGTGTGTTGTGTAATATTTGGAGTCATTGGGCTTGGTTATGAGTTGTTGTTTAGTTTAGTTTATTTTTGTTGGGTTTACTTGAATATCCAAAAGGGATATGCCAGGTTTTTGGCATCAAAATGATATCTCTTTGGCACACAATTCCTTTTCTACAATGATTGTATGAGTTTTTCTTCCAACATTAATGTGATATTTGTTACCTCTTTTAACAAAAGTTTTGTATTTCGTTCCTAATAGTTCCAATGATTCATTAAGCATGTTAATGTAGAGTATATATCACCTAAAATGAACTTTTGTTTCATCTTCATCTATATGGTACACAACTTTTTCATGTACTTCTGTAGGCTACTTTAGTTTTTTAGATTTGTTAGCAACCGAAAATCTGATAAGATTCTTCCTGTTTTCATTAGGAATGTATATATATATATATATATATATATATATATATATATATATATATATATATATATATATATATATATATATATATATATATATTCCATATTGCTAGTCATAATTCTTTATGTATCCACAAAGTCATGAAGTGTTAAACTGTTAATGTATTTTGGTCTTTTATGACACATGCAGTTTAGAATATCACACTGGTCAAGATCTAAACCCCTCTTAAACTTAATTAAAAATCTTATTGTTCTTGAACTCACAATCATGAAACTAAAGTGTATTCATATGATGTAATAACATTGGTTATTTATATCTATTAGACTGTATAGAATCCATGAATTTGTGAAGTTGACGTAGAAAGTTAGTTGGAGATGATTGAGAAATTGATTGAAAATTTGTATTGGATATGAGATTAGTTATATTGTGGTACTCGATATTATAACTAAATCATGTGATGAATTGTTACGATTAAGAAGTCAATTAACACAAACAAAATAATTAAAGATGTGATGAAAATATAAAACACAAGGATTTAACATGCTCGATCAGAGAAATCGAGCTACGTCAAAAAAACAAACTTGATAGAGATTTTATTAATAATATTCACACATTCATACAAATGGATATACTTATAATGATGAGTTAACTTAAAATATACTAATAGATAGGACCTAAGAAAGCCCATGACAATGTTGAATCATCTAGTCCATTAATCGAGTCCCATAGTAGTTGTAACAAATGACAAAAATATGTCATTCGCCGGTTAACTTAAAAATTAAAATATACTATTCACAAAAATAAGTATTATTAATACATGAAAAATAAAAAATTGTGTATTAAGTATACTTAGGAGAAATTGAGACTCTAATTGGATAGTGTTTGTTAACATGACTTCATGCATATGATGATCGTCAAAAAACGGATTTAGTATACCAAAAGTTACAGGCTTTCGAAGAAAACGAAAATCTAGCCGGCTAAAAGTGTAAAATTACGAAACTTCAAACGCTTCGTTAGGTGCCTTAAATGATGAATTTTCAACCCCGGGCAATTTTTCCTCGATCACAATAAGATATACTACTTGATTTTGAAGTTAACTCATTTTGCCTGAAAAACTCAAAAATCGAACGATACGACATAAGCTTATTCGATCCTTGGGGTTAGCTACGCATCGCGTTACCTATTTTTTATCGTGTTTTTGAACATTACATAATATTTGATTTCATTATTGGAATATTTTTTACTTAGAATTTATCACTTTCGTAAAAAATGTTAATCGTAAAAGTTATAAATATAACAAAATTGTAACTTCAAATGCTTTTTAACATAGTTTCATCATTTGTTGAAGAAATTCGATATCATTTTTGGAATCACCACACTCGAAGAAATTGACAGCTATGTTTGGAAAAAATTTACGAAGTTAGGTTTCGGCACACGCAAATCGAGACAACATGTGTCGGTTGACATCACCTTAATGATGTCATCAAGGTGACATCACTTGTCCTATAAATATAAAAACAATCTTCACAAAAATCAATCATATCTCTTCCTCTCTCTACCTGATCACTCTCTTTCTTTTCTCGAGTTTCGAGTCACCAGTGACAAGCTTTGATGATCTCTGCTACCCAGCACTGCCGCCCTACTCCGCCACATCTCTGCCACTGGCACCGTTGCCATTAGTCCCATCTCCGATAAAAACCAGGTGAAAGAGCTATTGTCGAAGACACCAAAAGCCTTCGCGAACGACCTTAGAACACAGCTACACGCTGCCATGAAGCAGTGGTGCTCTGGCGGTTTCCGGTGAAGTTCGTTTGACACAAAAGTGAATTTTTCGTTTTCCTAATGAATGGATCTACAAACATGTGAAGTCATTTCGTTCAAAAAGCTTTCTGTTTAAAAGTCAAGAAAACGAAATGAGCCCAGATTCTCAAAACGAACACTTTTGATGCTTCAAGGGTGAGTTCTACGACCTATTTTATACTTTTTAAGCTTTTGGAGGATGATACA